CAAGTGCCAAGATCGCGCCGCTTACATAGCAAGCTGCCGTTTTTTGTGCTAACTCACTACATTTAAAGTTTGATCATCTAAGTCTGTTCTTTTTTATTTTTATAGATTTGCGTTTCAAAATGTTCCTGACAAGATCAGAATATGACAGGTAAGATGAAGAATCTTTATCTATGCTGTACGCTTTCTCTGCTTTGAATGTCTTTCAGTCATTTGTGTTTCATGCTTGTGTTGTCAGTGCAGTGGCTGCTCATATTATCTATAAATTTTTAGGATATTTACACATCTCTTTGTAAAAGTAAGATTAAAGTATTTAATGTCACTCTCTTGCCTTAAAACTTTCACTTTCAGTTTTGTTTTGCAGATATAATAACTGCATTAACTCTACAATTACAGTGTATACACGTATATTAATAATACAGATTTGAATGCACTTACTGTATCATATTAACATCTTTTTTCATCCTCAGAGGAGTGAACACTTTCTCACCAGAGGGAAGACTTTTTCAAGTAGAATATGCCATTGAAGCCATCAAGGTAGACCTTTTCTGTAATAACATGTTAAGTTTAAAATTAACTACCAGAATGTTTATAATAGCTGGTTGTCTGAGTTTGTAAGAAGTGAATGTTGGGGCTAATTTTCTTTTCTTTGTTTGTGCCTCTTTCTTTCCAGTTGGGGTCCACAGCCATTGGCATTCAGACATCGGAGGGAGTGTGTCTCGCTGTGGAGAAGAGAATAACCTCTCCTCTGATGGAGCCCAGCAGCATTGAAAAGATTGTAGAGATCGACACTCATATTGGTAAGACAAATGCTTACAATAGCATATTCTCCATGTGGAGAAGTGTGATAAAGCTAGTCATTTTTTAAAAGTCTAAATGGAGCTAGTACATTTTTAAAGTGTAAATAAAATAATACTTTGTTAAAGTAAATAAGTGCTCTATGTTGCAAAAATTTGGGGTTAATTATTTTACCACTGTTTCTGAGGTGTTGAAAGTTAGAATTGAAGTTTGCCCCGCTATAGCAATCTTTGGGATACCAAAGATTTGGTCTCAGTTTAATTCTAAACAATCGGATATTTTATCTTTTACCTCCTTAATAGCTAGGCACCGTATTTTGCTCCATTGGAAATCTAATAAGCCTCCCAATGGCTAGTGGATACAATGTTTTTTCTGAAATTGGAAAAAATGAGATGTTCTGGGAAAAGAATTTTTTTTTTTAGGAAATTGAATTATTTTATAGTTTACTTCAAGTCTTTTACCTCCTGTGTAATATGATTATGTTTATATAATTTATGTATAAATATTTTATTAGATTTTTTATTTCTTTAGTATTTATTTATTTTGCCTTTTCTTTTTTTTCTTTTCACTAGTGGTTGGGTAATATCTTTGGCTTTGTTTTTTGATATGTAAAAAAAGTGATAATATTGTGTAATAATTAGTTTTCTTGTCGTAATGTTTGTTCTAATAAAAAGTTTCAACATCAAGTGTAATAAAGCTGAATGGTCCTGTTCATTTTTCAATACAGGCTGTGCCATGAGTGGCTTAATAGCTGATGCAAAAACTCTTATTGACAAAGCAAGAGTGGAAACACAGGTCAGTGAATGTTCCTTAAATTTGTATTGTCAATGCTATGATTAGTCAGTGGTCTCATTGATAAAGAAAGTGTTCTTGTATCAAATGCCATATATTTTAAGTTTTCTTGTGTTTCTGCAGAACCATTGGTTTACCTACAATGAGACGATGACGGTGGAGAGCGTAACGCAGGCTGTGTCTAACCTCGCTCTGCAGTTTGGAGAGGAGGACGCTGACCCTGGCGCTATGGTATGAGTGTCTGGCTTATATTTTATTGCAGTGGTTTTCAGTTCACTCCAGGGAAATGGTGTCTGGTTGTAGTTTGATTACAAATGTCCACATTTTTCATCTTTAGAGCCGTCCTTTTGGTGTTGCTCTGCTTTTCGGAGGTGTGGATGAGAAAGGACCTCAGCTGTAAGTGCACATTTAATTAAATCTATGCGCAGCACTTCTTTTATAATAATAATAATAACAAATATTACTATTATTATTATAGTTATATTGATATATAATCACAAGTTTTTAGGTCAAATTGTGCAGCTCTTATTTTTGAATTGCATTTTGAATAGCAATCAAAAAA